GCTAAGAAGAACCCGGACCCCCCCCCCGCTGCAGCAAGGCAGCTCCCTCCTCGCCCTTGAAACCGGGCTTCCCCACCGCCAGAGGTGCCGGCCACTCTGGCTTCCTCCCCCTCTCCATCCCGTCCCCCCACCCTGCACCATCGAGCCAGGGTCCCTGCGCAGCCACCCACGGGGCACGCTTAGCCCTGCTGCTGCTCACGGTGCTTTGTAGGGCCATGGGTAGCTGCTTGCTTGCAAACACAGGAGCTGACCGCAAAGTTTCCCGTGCACGGCTTGAAATCCCTTTCCTCCTCTCCCCCAGTGCTGGAAGCCCCCCCAAAATGTCTGGCTCGTGGGGCCCCAGTGTCTCTCCCCCTCCGTGCCCCGGCCATGTGGTGTGAGCTCGGTTTGCAAAGCATGGCCAGTCCCGCCACGCCACGATGGCTCATCCCATCTCCTCGCAGCTCTTGGAAGCTTTTCTTCTCACCCTGCCCTTAATATTTGGGTTTATTGCATCGTCCGTGTGCATCAGCTGTGGCTTATCCCCCTTCAGCCTTGTTTTATCTGCTGTGGGGTGTCGCTGGGTCCTTTCCCAGGGCTCTGCTGTTGCTCATCTCAAACATCATCCCCTTGTGCCCTCCTTTAAGGCCGTTTGCAACAGCCGTCTTAACGAAGCTCCGATTGATAACTGTCCCAGGCTCCTCTTCTCCCATCCCCCTTTAGATGGGCCACCATGTCTAATTAATTACCTTCCTCTTGCCGTTCAATAGCTGGCTCTTGATCCATGTAATCGTATTTCTGTCCATGCTGGCTTGATTTAATTTCCCCCTTAGGATATCGCATGGCACTGTGTATCAGATGCCTCGCCGAAACCCCGGTGTGTTGTAGCCGCCGTGGCCTCTTTGTCTGCAATTACACATTGTATTTAAATAGCAAAACCCTCCAGATTTGTCTGGTTCCGCTGCCGCAGAGCAAACCCTGGGTGTTTGGCTCCTGCCTGTTCCCCTGGCAGCATTTGCTTTGGGTCCTGTGCTCCGCTTTCCCTCCCACCCTGCGGATGCTGTGGTCCAGACCCCCATCCCACACGGCATCTCCCGCATCCCCATCCCAGCCCCGCGTGGGAAACCAGCCCTGTGGAAAGCCACCGTCGTGCCCCGGAGAGTCCGGGGAGGGCAGCTCCCCTCGCCCCGGGATCCCCCCCCCCCCCTCCCCCG